AATTAAAATTTTCCCGTGTAACTAGTTCTGCGCATAACAACTCGGTTCATCTGACGTAGTAGGTTTTTTTGGACGGGTCCAAGCTCTATAATAATAATAATAAATGATATAATAACAAATTAAAGTTCAAAGTGGCGTTTGTGTAACTTCAATCCTTTCATTGTTGTGATTGTTAAAGTCAAACTAAATTTTCTTTGTATTCTATGTAATAATAATAATAATAATAATTTGAACATATTTGTGCATAACATCTTTTTAGCGAATAGTTTGGTTTGGTTTCTAAAAAGACCTACTAACTTTTAATTTTTTTCAATTGGGGCATACATAAACCAAAAAAATGGACATTTATGACACAAAGAATTACAGGGTCCTTAAAGCCACACAATGCAGGCTCACAAGAAGATTCCTGTTTAACACTTCTTCAAAATAAACCAACTAACGATTTAATGTCTCTTAACGATTAATTAAAGAAGGGTGAATGAAATTGGCGACAAGAATTCAAGGATAATGATCGACATCCCGCATAGTTTACATCAGTTTGTGTATACTATATACTAATAACGTGGAGCCTAATAACAACATTAACAATAATAAATGTAATATTAAAATAATGGGTAAGAAATTTTTTCTTTGAAGACCCTTCCTTGAAAAAGCTTTTTTTGCACTCCTTCCTTGGAAGACCATTCTTTCTTTGCCCCCTTTATGAAGAAGGGCATTCTTTTTTGCGAGAAAAACATTGCTTTCTTTAATTATTAGTGCCACCACCACCACTTCTTCGACTTTTAAACTGTAATAGTAAATCAAAATTCTAATTATTTTTAATAATTTTACATCTTAAAAGCATAGAATGTTGCCAACCAGGTAACGGAACATAGTGTCTTTTTTCTGGATTCTATGATAGCAATATGTCAGCCAACAATTATTCCGATGGGCAGAAGCTAAAATAACGGATCCCGGGATAACTCATATTGGAAGAACCCGGCATATAATAACAGGTAATACACTCACCTGCCAAAAGTATCCGGACAAAATGTAGATCATGTAAATTTCCGTGACATTTCTGGGTGTTTTACA